AACTTTCATATCTCTTTAGTTACTGGTGGGATTGAGTAACATAACCACCCATTATGTCTTTATAAGTGTGGTATCAACTTTGTATGACTAACACGTAGTAATGACAATGGAGTAAGTGGAAATCGCAGTAATACATATTTAGATAATTAAAGTTAACACAATACATACAAAATTTGTATCATATTTAGATAATTAAATTTGTTTCATATTTAACACAATACGCAACAATGTCAATTATGTCTAAAGTAGCATAGATGGAAGTACTTTGGTACTTACGAATATATTGGAATGTTCTCTATAACTTTAGAACGAAACTACCTATATAAATATCGGGATGACTGGTACATATGTATTTGCAAAATAACATAACTTAAGAGGTGTATTTGGATTCTATTACTTTGGCCTTTAAAATTGACTTACGAATTTATTGGGATGTTCCTTAAACTTTGGAATGAAAATATGTACATAACTATTGGGATAGTTTGTACATATGTATTTGCATAAGCTTAGAACTTAAAAGGTGTATTTGGACTGTATTACTTTGACCTTATAAAATTGGAGATACTTTAGACAACACGTGAATTATGTCTGAAGTAGTGTAGATGGAAATAATCTAGTACTTACGAATATATTGGGATGTTCCCTATAACTTTGGAACGAAAATATGTACATAACTATTGGGATAGTTTCTACATATATATTTGCATAAGACTATAATTTAAAAGGTTTATTTGGATTGTATTACTTTAGCCTTGAAAAAATTGGAAATACTTTTGACAACATGTCAATAATGTCTGAAATAGTGTGGATGCAAGTACTCTGCTACTTACGAAGGCCAAAGTAATAGAATTCAAATACACCTGTTAAGTTATAAGCTTTTGCAAAGGTACTTACGAATTTATCGAGATGGTCTCTATAACTTTGGAATAAAAGTTTGTACAATAATATTGAAACTAGTATTATGTGTGAAGTAATGTGAATGCAAGTACTCTAGTACTTTCGAATTTATTGGGATGTTCCCTATAACTTTAGAACAAAATTATTACATAGATGTTGGGATGATTTATACATATGTATTTGCATAATTGTCTAACTTAAAAGGTTTATTTGGATTGTATTACTTTGGTCTATAAAAATTGGAAATACTTTAGACAACCCGTGAATTATGTATGAAATAGTGTGGATGCAACTACTTTGGTACTTACGAATTTATTGTGATGTTTTTCATAACTTTGGAACGAGACTTTATACAAATATATTATGATGATTGGTACATATGTATTTGCAAAAGCAAATAACTTGAGGTGTATTTGGATTATATTACTTTGATCTGCAAAAAGTTACTTACGAATTTATTGGGATGATAAACTTTAAACCACACATAGCATATCATATCATGTTGTTCATGGTCATCTTTTTGACAGCATGCTCTGCATGTCGTCAAAATTATTTTTAAAAAAAATCATTTTCTCTATAATGGAAACAACAATGTCTATCTTGCACCTGTGTTCAATGGTTCAATATCACAAATTATACCTGTCTCCAATGTGAAAAAAGAATCCACACATTATGTCACATCACCATATATAAGAACATAACATATATATTAAAGAGAATAAACAAAATCCATTACTTTTCATTAAACCAAAACCATCAAGCCCAGTACTATGTCTACAAATATTTAAAACCACCATGAATGTCAAAAAAGTTCCTATCCATCCAATATAATAAAGTCAACGAGAAATAAAAAAAATAAATCACTAATTACAAAGTCTTGATGGCAAAAATCGATCCTGCAATCATACTCTGCCAAAAAAAAAAAAATGGAAGAAAGAAAACAAGTTATTACATTTAATTATCACATTAAAGAAGTAGGCGAAAAGGAAAGGGTGAAGGAGATGAAGATGAAAATGGGGACAAAGGTTCAAACTCTTACACATAAAAAATATAATTATATACATTTATAAATATATAAGTCAACACATTTATATTTAATGTAAAACCATTACCTTTGAGACTAAGTTCTTCTAACCAACTTGGCAGGCCATGAAATTGTTTCTCCCTTAGCTAGCAGAAGGTAAAAATAATATTTGCATGCCCTATACAAGGTCACATCAATGTCAAATACAACATGGACCCTAATTTTTCGACATTCGATTCCAATAGGAATACCATCCACACATGATTTTTTGTTCGTTGAATCAATATCTTCAATAACAACTACATTTGGTTCAAACTCTTACAAAAATTTATAAGTGATAGAAGTATTATTCAGTTTAATAACACCTCTCAATCTCAGTATAATAGAAGAATAAGCAACCAAAACAAAATATTCATTTTACTGTGTAAAGTAATGCAAGGTGGTAGTGCTCACAGAGGGATAGGATAGATTACGGTGATGATGAGAGTAGAGTAGAGTAGAAAGGTAATAAAAAAAATAAAAATAAAAATTGTGGTTCAGTAGTAGTGCTCACGGAAAATTAAAAGAAAGAATATGAAAATCATGAACATAAGTTGTATATGTGACTATCACACTAGAAAAATAAAAAAGGAAATGAATAAAAATTACAGTAGTAAAGGGTCAATACCTTTGGAAGAGTCATATTCTTCAGCATGGAAAGTCATAGTGATGCTTGATATATTAACTCCTGTAGCTTCCTTTGATTCCTATACAAAAGATTTTGATCTCTTAACCTGCTAAATTTTGGATTTTTTGTACCAACAAAAAAAAAAAAAAAAATCATATAGTTTGTAAAGAGTTATAAAATACATCAGCAACATGTTATTTCCACTGGGAAAGAGATATGGAACATAGAAAATTTCAATGTATAAAATGAAACAAAGGTCTATAAGAAATATTTATTCTAAACAATCTAAATAAAAATCGACAAGCAAATGAGACATGTTGGAAGATGAGAACCAAACCCATAACGCCCCAAGACCATAGGACGCGATTAATAAGGTTAACAGCAAAAATTGGAATAGCAGTGCTCAGCTAAAGAAAAATTCTGCTGAGCGATTATTCGAAAAATGGTAGAAAATTCAATTTTTATCAGAATGAGGCAAACTAAAATTCTTTAGAAGCTAGACTTAGAGTAAAACGTGACTGAGCCATTCCGGATACTGGCAATACACCAATGAAAATAGTTTTTAGAAGGAATAAAGTTTTCACAGCTTATGCTGAAATCCCACCAAGTGCCGAACTTTGGCCTGCTTAGTCGTTTCTGGAGCTGATAAAATTTTGCAACCTTTGTTTCTAGAAATTAGACACAAGAAATAATTGGAAAGTTTCATAATTTAATGATGTCGGGAAGTCTGTCAAATCATTTTCTCAAAATCAGTCCCCGAACTGTGATAAAAAACTGGGCAGCAGATAGTCAATGATTTTTATAAATATCCACCTGTCCAAAAATTATCAAATTTTACTGAGAGACTTTAGGCACAGAGGGGAATGTATGGTAAAAATTTCGTAGCGTTTGAAGCAATACAGCCCCTAATAAAAAATGGTTTCCAAGCAAGAACTAGAGAAAAATTTTAAAACATAATTTTAGAAAACTACCATGGTTGCAAGAGTTAAAGAGAGATGATATATATATACATTTCCTCCAATTGACCATAGATGATAACTTACCCGAAAATGAAAGTTCCTTAACAACAAAAGTAGTATATAGCTAACAAGCTAGAACATATTTAACGCAACTCTGGGAGGAACAATTATAAAGGATACTTTCTTTTTAAATCATTTATTGACAATATCCCCTCATAGGTTTATTGACATATCTAAAATCTTAAATTGGAAGTTTAAAACTACAAACATGACATGTTATTTATACTCAACAATCATAATTCTCAATTACCATTACAATTGCAAATTGTATACAACATTGCCTTACAGGAATAAAATGAAAAATTTATTCTAAGATTGTAAATTGGAAGTTTAAAACTGCAATCATGTTAAGTTATTTATAATTACCAGTCATCATTCTAAATTACCATTACAAATTGCATACAACATTTCTTTCCAAGAATAGAATGAAAAATTTATTTTAAGATCTTAAATTGGAAGTTTAAAACCTCTATTCCCAATTATTTTGTACATTGCCTTACAGGAATAGAATGGAAATTTTATTTTAAGATCTTAAATTGGAAGTTTAAAACCTTTATTCTCAACTATTTTGTAGTATTTATCACGAATAAAATTTTCAGAATTTTCCACTCATTTTTCCACAATTTAATAACACTTCACAAATAACCAAACAAAACTAATAACCAAACAAAACTAATGAAACAGAATTTAATACCAGAATTTAATATGATTCAATTATATTAAACCTTTGAGTTTGGAAAGGAATAGAGAGAACCCTGTCAGAAAACCTTTGGAAATAACCCTCTAAATTTGGAAAGAAGAAAAGTTAGGGCAGGGATGAAGAGCTCTTTCTTTTTTTGGAAGAAAATATATTTTCTTTCTATATTTTGGGAGAGAAGAAGAAAGAAGAATAGCATTGAAATTTAGGATTTCTTTTTTTGGAAGAAAATATATTTTCTTTCTATATTTTGGGAGAGAAGAAGAAAGAAGAATAGCATTGAAATTTAGGATGTTCAAATTGAATTTTCAAATTGACGCTGAAATTGAACAGTAAAGTATTCTGATTTTGTATATGTGTGTATGTATATAATTTTGTATATGTGTGTATATGTAATATTGTATATTTTTATAATATCTATTTTTATCAAAACACTGTTTTCTTATTTTTTTACTGCCGCTACCGTAGGAACCGATCCTAACAGGACTCCCGTTTGACACGAGATGATTTCAGTCCGTTGAGATATAGGTATACAGCACTTAAATAGGTATGTATATATGCATATATGTAGGTAACTGGTAACAACAATGAATTTAGGAATCCCCTTGGAGTTACCTCTATCAAATGGGATAGGAACTTCATGTATTCAGCGGTAAGTTTTGAAGCGGTCTAAAAAGCCCCACATGAAAAAAAACGAAAATGAAAAAAAAAAAAAAAAAAGGAAAAAGAAAAAAAACAAACATGGTTGATATCCATACAAGTAGTACTCAAATGTCCAGTCCCGTCGTCCATTATTAATCGTTCACTCGAAACAAACGCATATAATAAGACCTTCCCGCCCGCGCTTCCGTTTTTTTTATATCACACACAGAGAACCTAGCGCCCCTAATTTCCCCAATTCAGAGCTCAGAGAACTCCATAAATCTCTCTCTCAACCGGGCTGTCATAATTTAACCTTAACGTGTCAGGGCAGTACGCCTTGAACCTAAATCATTCCTCACCGCTAAGCTTAGTTTTTCGCGCAGCTTGCTCATAGTTCAGGTCCCACTTGTATATCTTATATGACCCTTAACGCACGAGATAGCCCTAGCTGTATATTTTGATTTGGAGGAGCTATTTCCGTCTTTCTTGTTTCTCAGCACACTGATCACGCTGCCAACAAGCTTCACATTTGGATGAATGTACAACAACATCTCTGAAAATGGCTGACTGGTTCATGAATGTGCAGATTTTTCTCTCTTCGATGGTGGGAGATAGCAGCCCGGCCGAAAACTCGATCTAAGTTGAGAAGACACCCATCGATGTCAAACATCTCTCTGATCTATTGAAGTTGAAGACTAAAATGAGTCAAATAGAGGTTCCACCTGAACCGCAATCACAAAGGGCAGCGAGAAGGACGTTGGGGATATATACACACACTCTATACACACATATATGAAAGATGATGACGAAGACGTTCAAAGGAGCGAATGTGTTCATTTCTCGAAACCTAGTGCCGCCCGAAATCTTTGATTCGCTTCACGACGCTCTCAAGCACAACGGAGCTGAGGTTTTCCTCTGCTCCGATCCTTCGCGAAACGGCCCAAACGATTACCATATCATCTCCTCCAACGACCATGTACCAAATCACAATTCATTTCACTTGAACTTCAGTCTAATTTTCCGTTTCTGACAGACAATTCTTTGATTTGCAGGAGAAGTTTGACGATCTCAGATCTAAGGGCTGTAATTTGCTTGGTATGGTTGCAACTTTATCCTCACAATTTCGTCAAAGATTGTCACTTTGTTTTCCCCTTTTAAGTCTCCACTGTGATACTTAGAGTTCTGTATACCCTGATGTTAAGTATTTCAAATTGTTGGTTTTGGATTAGAGATTACTTTAATATATTTATGTAAGTGTCATTTGTTATTTTGTAGTTTCCGTTGTTTTCTTGAATTTATTCAATTGTTGGTGCTGTTTTCTTTTTTATTTCTCACATTATTTCCAAGAGTCAAACAGACACTTTCATGATTTAGTGCATATATTCTTTCCCCACAAATGTATATAATTAAACTCAACTCAACAAAGCCTTTTCCCAAACACGTATAACTACAATTGTAAATTTTTGTATACTTGAATTAGCTGTCAGGTGTCCTGGTGAGCAGGAATGGTCATGGTTTTCAGTAACCAAATTGTGTGATTGATTATGTCAAGTGTCCTATAGTGATTTTCGAACACACAGTCATCAATTTGGGATAGCAGCATGTGCATTGAAATGGTCCATTAAATTACTGTTCTTCATGTCTAAGTTGTTTAGAATGAGAGGGACTGTTACATAAAAAGGTGTTAAGAAAAGATGCTAGATAGCCTATCTGGTAAAGTCTTTAATAAGTCATATTAGAGAAATGAGATAGAATCCCACCTTCATCTGTGTTAGGGGGGGATTTGGGTGGTGAGAGGGCTACTTCATGTCCATTAGCCCAAAGAAAAGGGGGTTGTAAAAAATGTTGATTTTGATGTATATTTTATTTTGTTCAGGTCCTCAATGCGTGCTTTCCTGTGCAAAAGAACACAGAGCACTGCCTAATCAAGGGTTCACATGTTGCCTCGCAATGGATGGGGTCAAATTACTGGCATCTGGTTTTGAGATGGATGAAAAGGTATTATTCTTGTGCTTGAACATATTATATTATTATTGATGTTTAGGTTTAAGTATTAGACACATTTAATGCAAGTAGTCAATCATAGGCTCATGAACTTTGGAAGAAACAAAATCCAATAAGGTTTAGACAATTTGATCTAGCAACTATGACTGCATATGATGTAGAGTTTGTCAATAATGGCTATTTACAGAGAAGGAAAAGCTACTTAATGTTTTAAACAAGTTGTGCTTTTTTGAAACTGGAGCCTATTATGAAGCACGCAATTAAGGGCCTTACATGTTGTATGTTGAGGCAATTTAGTGGAGCCTTTGACGAGTCTAGGGTTCTTTGTGGTCTAGGGGCGTCTTTTGACAACTGTGATTCCTTTAAGCTCTATATTATGATGAATGCATGACTTACATGTTTGTTGAATCTTGCAATTTTGAATACAAAATTTTTACTATTTAAGCCTTATACTCCTATAATCTGTATGTCCAATATTATTTGATCTTATTGTTGCATAATTTAACTTTAAAACACTAGCTATAATTCAGGTAGGATGTCTTACTCCTTCATTACTAGTATGTTTGGATAAACTGGAAGGAAAAGAAAGGGTAGGACAAAATTAATGAGGAGAATTTACCCGCTATTAGTTGAGTATCTCTTGTTTCTCATCTTATATGAGAATCATAGGGAGAAAAAGAAGGATCATATTTTTTTTGAGGAGCAAGTGTTAAATGAGAATTTACTTGTAATTTACTTATTTCCATGATCTTTCCCTCCATTTTCACCTACTTTTTGGGAGGAAAGCAAAAAGACTTTAAAGGGTTAAGAAACCTCGCCTTTACCTTCCTCAATTTTTAACTGAACATTGCCTTTTCCTTCCTTTTATTTTCCTTCTTTTCTTTCCACCTACCTCACTCCTAACACAACGTAGGGAAAGGTGTAGACCGTGTAGGTTTGAAGTCCCATTCCCATCAGGTGTGGGGCTTTGGGTAGGGTGGCTTCCCCTCCTTCTGCAGCCTATGCAGTTAGACTAAACAAGAAAGAATAAAGAATCTGGAATGGTCAGCAATAAATGCTATTTATATACTGATGAGACTAATGAAAAGATATTTTTGAGAAAAATAACGATCATTATGTGATTTTTATAGATTTGAAGAATGCTTATGGTGGAGTCTCTAAATATGTGATATGGTAAAATTTAGAATAGAAAGGAGTCACAACTATATAGATTGACATGGTTAAGAATCAAATAATGGACCTGTGACTATGGATAGTTAGAACAGTTGTGGGAGAAGAAGTGAAATTCCAGTAACTTTATGCGTACACACCAAAAATAAGCATTAATCCCATATCTTTTTACATAATTATAGATGAATTGACAAAACACATTCTAAATGAGGTTGATGATATATCATCTGGGTTGATAAATTTTTTTAATTGATGAAATTAGAGTGGAAAAAGTGCTAAATTAGAGGTATAGTAAGAAGCTCTAGACTCGAGAGGGTTTAAGATAAGTTACACCAAACTTGAATATATGAGATGTAACTTTAACTTAAATAGAAATATAAGTTTGGATATATTTGAGTACTCAATTGTTACTAGATTCTAAAAAGCGATATTTTTGTTATGTAGGCTTGATTATTATTCTCACAAAGAGAAAATGAAGATGATGTTAGTTATAAAATTAAAGCAGGATGAATTAAATAGAGGAGTGCCTTTTTTTTTTTTTTTTTTTTTTTTTTTTTCTCTCCATAGTTGGTACTCACACACACGTCTCTATTGAGACTTGAACCCAAGTAAGAGGCTGATACCGCTAGGCCTTGGCCCGTTGGTATAGAGGAGTGCTTCTAGCAGATTGTGTGATGACATTACGTCTACAATTGAAAGATAAATTGTGAGCATTCTTAGAGCTGCTATATGTAGTAGGACAAAATGTTATTCAGTTAAGAAACAATTTTTTCAAGAAATGAGTGCCAAAATGCAAATATTGATATGGATGTGTGGCAAGACAAGAAAAAATGAAATTAGAAATGAGCACAATTCTGAGAGAATTTTTATCTTATCAAAAACCTGTCAAATAACACACCCACCCACTTTTTCCGTATGGGACTTGAACCTTGACCTTCCACTTTGGGAGGTAGAGGAGATGCTACTAGGTCACAAACCTTTGTGGTATTTCTGAGATGATTGAAGCAGCAACCATCGGTGTTAAATGACATGAAATTAATTAAAATGGTTTCACCATGTGCAGGATGACCAATAATTGCTATAGTGAGGAAAATTGGCGTGGTTCATATTGAAGATAATGTTAGGGGAAGGGGAAGACAAAACTAATATGGTTAAATAACAAAGATAGATATGATAGCAAAAAAATATGATGAGACATGTTCCACTAATGTTATGACCTCCGATGAAGCGGAATGATGAAACAAGTTTCATGTGATTGACCTCAAATGGTTGGAAAAGCTTTGTTGAGTTGAAAAGAGTATGGTCATTTTAGTGACTAGTCTTGTATTGGCTTGGAATGGGATTATTGGCTAAAAATATATGAACTGTAGAATGTAGTGTTGGCCATTTCTTTCTACTGGTGTTATAGTAGGAGGGATGCAAATGAAGTAATGAACCAAGTTGTTCTTGAATAGTTGGGGCTTGGTTTGTCAATGAGCTTGTTCAAGCCTTTTTGATTAACAAATGAGTCGAGCTTGACCTTGATTTTCAAGCTCGTTTCATAAATGAGCTTAGCTTGAACAGACCCACGATCGTGAACAGACCCTCTTGTCTTTTGCGTGTTATGCAAACTAATCTTCCTTTCCTCATCAGTGCATCTATGTATCTTCATTGTACGTGTTGTGCAAACTTAACTGGCAGGTTGAAGAAACGATATCTTTCTAAATGGGGGCACTTAACCCTTATAAAGAGTATCCTTTCAAGTCTTCCTACCTACTATCTATTGTTATTCTAGATTCAAGTAGCAGTCGTGAGGAGGATCGTGCATTTGTAGAGGAACTTTTTGTGGGGAGGTATGGGTGATGAGTTTGAGTATAATTTCGTGAACTGGGAGAGGGTGTGTAGTCTATTCAGATTGAGGGTTGGGGGTTAGGAGGTTGATTCTTTCAACAAAACTGTGCTAAGCAAATGGCTGTGGAGGCTTGGGTCAGAGAGGGATAGGCTTTGGGGGAGAGTCGTTTGGAGTAGATATGGAGAGGATTGGGGTAAGTGGTGCTCTTTGGAGGGCCTGGTGGGTGTATATGTTTTGAAAATTCATTCCACCCTATATGTTTTGGAAATTCACTCGAAAAGGGCTTTGGGGGAGAGTCGTTTGGAGTAGATATGGAGAGGATTGGGGTAAGTGGTGCTCTTTGGAGGGCCTGGTGGGTGTATATGTTTTGAAAATTCATTCCACCCTATATGTTTTGGAAATTCACTCGAAAAGGGTGGAATGAATTTTCAAAACATATTCGCTCTAGGGCGAGAATTAGGAGGCATATCCGATTTTGGACAAATCATTGGTGTGGGGATCGGGCTATTGCTAGTGTCTTTCTAAGACTTTATAGAATTGCGGTGGAGATGATCTCGGTCATGGACAGTTATCGGCTTGATGGTGGAAGAGTGACTTCGGATGTGCAGTTTTGGAGGTAGTTTCAAGATTGGGGGAAGGAGGAGATCATTGGCCTTTTGGATTTGCTATATAGTTAGAGGTTGATGGAGGAGGGTGTAGACGAGTGGTCTTGGGTGGACTCTATCAATGGTAGATTTGAGGTGCGCTCTTTCTACAAGCGGCTGATGGGCTTTCAGGGTCCCTCCTTCCCATGGAAGGTAGTTTGGTGCAGAAAAGCCTCCATTGAGGTGACTTTTTTAGGATGGATGGTGGCTCTAAGGGGAATTCTGACTATTGATAATCTGAGAAAGAGGCGAAAGATAATGGTGAAGCGTGTTACATGTGCAAGAAGGATGAAGAGACAGTGGATCATCTTCTTTTACATTGCTCGGTTGTTAGAGTTATGTTGTTTTGAGTCCATTGGCTGTCACCGGCTTCCACACAGAGCATGCTCGAGTCTTGGAGGAGTTGTATAGTGGGTCCTTTGGTTCGTGATGCTTGGTGGGTGGTTCCTCTGTGTGTGGTGGGGCTCGTGGAGGGAGAGGAATGGCCTTGGTTTTTTGTTATCTCTGGTGCGCTCTCCTTCTGAGCACTTCTAATGAAGGCTTACTTATCAAAAAAAGAAAGAAAAAGAAAGTCTATTCTCTTATTTTTAACTAATGGGCACCATTTCTCCTTCCATGTTGATTATTAAGCTTATATCTTCTTATCACTCCAATTATCCATCTTAACATTCTCATTTCAATTACACAAATGCAATGTTGTTGTTTCTTTTTTTATGCCCAAGAATTCAAATCCATCCATCACCAAAGGAGTCCAAGATGAAGTCACCTCTTCATCTACTCCCATCCTTGAGACATCATATGAACAAAGAGCTCCATTTCCTCAACGTCTCAAGGAACCCTCCTATTTTGGCAAACAAGGGGAGAAAATTCAAGACATGATGGAAGTCTTCAAGCAAGTAAAAATCAATCTACCTCTCCTCGATGTCGTCAAGCAAATCCCTCCATATGCGAAATTTGTGCACATGTGAGACGTGAAGTACACTATAGATGAATAACCACCAACAAAAGCCAAACTGAACAATGATGTGGACCACATATGCCAAAACATGAATAAAAAATGCGAAACTCCCCCAAAAATATCAATTCCCAATCATACATGATACAATAGTCCACTAAATATGACATGATATGCAATACGAGTCCATAAATTCCATAGAAGCAATATCATTGCAAAATAAGCTCATGCTCTTAACTACATCATTTATGCCTTGTTCGGTAGGAAAGAAAAAATTTGGATGGAAGAGAGAGAAGAATGGATGGATAAGACATCCCAAGAGAAGAGATTGTGTATTTCATTCTTTTTGTTCGGTTGGATGAAAGAGAAGAGAATAAACTTATAAATTACTACTATGTTCGTTAAAAGGGAGGAAAGAGAAATTTTAATCGTTTTTACCATTATATCCAATAAGATTTATAATATTGTAATTTATAGAGTATAGTACTATAATTTAAATCTTGTATAATTTAGTATAGTATTTAATTTAAAACTTCTATAATAGTCCCGTTGTCTTCCCTCATTTCTTCTGCCCATTTTTGGGCTGATGAAAATTTGTAAAGGAGGAAGGATGGGTCATCTTTCCTATTCTCCTTTCTTTCCTTGTATCATCTCTGCTGAACAAAGGAAATTCATTCCTTCCTTCCTATTTTCTCTCCTCACCTCTTCCTTCCTTCCTGCCGAACACAGCATTAAGCACAAAAAGATTTCAAATATGGCAAAAAGATGAACAAAATTTCAAAGTAACCCAAAATTTGCAATTCTATTGCCTTACCCAAATGGCACATTGTCATCAATGTGCAATGAGAAAAAAAAAAAAAAAAAAGATAATGAGATAGAACAATATTACCATGGCACTGAGGAGTGTCAGAAAAGCAAACCAAACAAGTAATGGAAAGCAACAAGCAAGGTGGCACACCCCCAAACTTGTAACCAAAAACCTGTCAAGATAAACAACTCGGGACTACCATGTAAGAGTAAACATGTCCCCCCATTGGGGTAAGAGAATAAACATCATCATGCAAAAATAATAGACAGCAAGAATACGAGAGCCATAGAATAAACACACCAAAATAGAATAGTGTGATATCATAAGACATTATACTCTATATATTAGGCCTGATGAGTGATGACCATTCTATAAAATTTTCTTGTAACTTATTTGACTTTTCTTCTTCTTCTTTTCTCTTATTTTTATTTATTTTTTAATAAAAAAAAAAAATTCAAATTGGGCACCACATACTCCATTTTGCGTAAGGCTTATTTACATCCAGTTACTGGTTCTGAAATTTGAAAATTCATCCTGAACTGTCACATTGAAGTGGCTGATGGAATAGCATTCTTTTTATTCTGGAAAGATGCAAAAAATCATGGCACACTGTGGGTATTATAACTGTCAAACCATTACTCATTTTTATGAACGGTTTCAGATTTTGCATGGAAATTTGATTTTGCTTCTCTGTTATGAGTGACTCAAGCTGGAATAGGTAAAATAAAGTAATTAACATCCTGAATAAATTATGATCGGAACTCCAGAAACGGATCAACTACTGATAGTTGATGAACACTCACATATATATATATTTTAAGGGATTTATTCAGTTGATTCTCATGTGCCAAGGTTCAGTTTTTTGAATTTGGTGCACATTAACTTCAATTTGAAGGCGGATACCAATATCCATGTATACAATTTAAAACCCAGGTTCAGTTTTCTATATTAGATATTCAGAATGTGACTGTTAAATTCCCAACATTTAGACTGTTATTTATTATTATTATTTTTGGTAAGAAATTATTATTATTTTGCAACAGCATTTAGACATATGAGACATTAAAGATATCTCTGTTTGAAAGGGGGAGAACACTTGGCTGTTGTGTCTGTGACATTGCATATTATGAAATGATAAATTGAAGAATTGCCCAAGGATTTTATAATCAAAACATCTAATCAGATCCTTACTCGAAAAGGGTGATTTTCTTAATGATAATGTATTCTATATAGTATGGGAATTTTTTTTTTTTCTTAATTACCGTGGGAGTCTCTTGTTTCATTATAAATATTGTATATATTGGAACTTGAATGAGTTGAACTTGATATAACACTTCTGATCTTAAAAACAAGCATCCTTTGGTTGTATGTTAATATCAGTTTTTATACTTTGCAATGTTGGGCTCTGTAATGTCGGTATTTTTCTACAACCTTTCTTTTATGCTATATGGCACTGGACAAACTACCCCCCTGCTCTTATACATGATTCTCTTTCTGTCACTCCCTTCCCTTCCTCTTGAACCCTAACATTAGTGTTGATTCTTTGGTTCATGAACTTGTTGTAGGTTGAGATTGGAAGGTTGGTGACTTCTATGGGAGGAGTGTTGCATTCTAAGGCGTCTATGGATGTTAGCTTTGTTATTGTGAAGAATGTTTTGGCTGCAAAGTACAAGGTTTTCAGTTTTCCTTTCCATTTTTTCTATCAAGTGTTCTATTAAGTGTCCTACTTTCTCTCTTTCTGTGTTTAATAGCTGACTATCGTCTATCGTATGAGGAATGAGCTTCTAAAGTTTCCAAATCTCACACTCTAATGACTATAGTTATTTTCTTATCTTGTTAGATAGACTTAATTGCCACATTGGTTTATAAGATTGTCGGACCACTCTCTCGAGCTTTCCCAGGGGTGTCCATGTAGTGGGTTTCTGAGGGGTGTGGCCTTGTGGAGTTACTCTATCATGATCCCATACTAGAAAACCTTGTTTCATTACTTCCTTACCTCATGGTGATGCTGGATATTGACATACTATTACAGTTAATTTAGTGAGCTTAAGAGTAAGTAGGCAAATAGAAACAGAAGGATGAAATGAAGAAGCAGTCAATCATTAGTTCACAACATTTTTTCTGGCAAATTAATAGAGGATTACACTATCATGCGACCTTATAGAGGACATTCTTTAGTGTGTTTGAATGAACTGAAGTAATTTAATGGATTGTGATTGTTTTGTGCCTAAGCCGTTATGTGCAGGTTATGGGATTTGTATTGCCATATTTCTATCTGGGTCTTTGTGCAGCCTTGAAAGGTCTATTTCCTATTCTTTTCATTATTTCTGGGCTAATTTTTTAATTTTTGAGTAGATTCTATATTTGAATTTAAATGGATTAGATTTACCTGAGAAGAATTCAAGAGATCAGCATCTTTTATTTTATTTTATTTTATTTTTATTTTTTTTCTTTCAATTAATTGTTATCACCTTGTTATCTGGGTCTTTGTGCAGCCTTGAAAGGTCTATTTCCTATTCTTTTCATTATTTCTGGGCTAATTTTTTAATTTTTGAGTAGATTCTATATTTGAATTTAAATGGATTAGATTTACCTGAGAAGAATTCAAGAGATCAGCATCTTTTATTTTATTTTATTTTATTTTTATTTTTTTTCTTTCAATTAATTGTTATCACCTTTTTGCTGCTGTTATCTTCTCATTATTTCTCAATGATGATGTCTTCATTAGATGATCCTGTCAGCTTTTTGTACCCTTTTTTCTCCAATGCAGCAAATACTAATTTTAAGTCAATAGTGGATTCTAATCATGATCAATCTGTAGATCCTAATAGCTCACGTCTTCATTCACAGACCCTAAAATCTTCTGTTGTAACTTGATACTAATTGTAGTTGTCCATTTAATCAACTGTGGGGCACTGGATAACTTTTGAATACTTTTTTGGTTATTTATCAGAGGCTTTTTTTTTTTTTTTTACTCTGCCTTGCTGCAATCCCAATCCCCTCGTAAAGGATATATTATTAAATCTTCCTTATTGCAATCTTAATCGTTGTATCAATCATGACTGATTTCTTCACCTTTTCTTAACAAAGTAAATTTATTTCCTTCAGTTGTCAACTTGTCATTTTCACTAAATCTCTGCAAAAAAGTCAAAGATTGTTGCAGTGGAAGTATTATGGTTCTAAATTATAATTAACTGTCACAAAGATGACCAGGCGGGGTGTCTAAATTATAATTAACTGTCACAAAGATGACCAGGCGGGGTGGGGTGGGTGTGGCAATGTCAAGTGTTGGGCTTAAGTTTTACTATTATGAGTACTCACCGGTCCTGTAAGTCCTTCTATATATTTATTGATAAATAGATACTCTTAAAGTTTCACTCTCTGTATCATCTCAGAAGCTACTTTTAGATCAATATGACATTATGACGCATCGAACTCATGTAGAGGGCCCAGAACTACGTGTTTATGCTGGTCCATTTGATGCCATGTTGTTGATTCTATCATCCTTCATGCTTCCATGGGTTGAGTTCCATTTTGTAGTGCAAAATGAACTCTTCTGATTTGCAACAAAATTAAATTAAACAAGGACAAACGTATAAACACATGGCAACATTTGGAAACAATATAGTTGAACGAAATTTGATTCTGTCACTATCACCGATTTCTACATCTCTGCCATTCAGAACTCAGGTTCACTGTTGGTAGGTGACATACCAATTAAGAAGCTCAGGTTTGTTGTTTCTGTAGAAGTTTCTCTGAGTTGATTGTTAAACCCACTAGTCTGCGACATGTTGTGGCTTGAGAATTCAAACTTGGAGAACAGAACTAGATTGAAAGTGTGTTTAACTGAAGCATGGGAAACTTTGTCATGCATATAAAGGCTTTGACGAGTTCATCATAGTTGACAAGACAAGATCAAATCAAGCTATACATGCTACACAGTGGATTGAGGAAAGAGGTGGCTGTGGAGCAGAATATAGCCATGAAGGAAGCTAAATCCACAACACATTTGAAATCCACTTGTCACAATTCAATTCCATTGGAGAAATGTCTTCAATCAAGGAATCAACAATAGGACTCTTAGGGTTGCATTCAGTGACAGGCCTTCCAACAGTGAAGTTGAATCTGATGCATCAGTAAACTTGTTGAGGGGAGTGCATTCTGCACATAACTCATCACTTAAAGTGTCTTACTTGCCACAATTGGCAATCAGAGGCATGTAATTCCAGCATAGCTGGGAGGCTTTCTGAGTGGTGTGCAAATCCGTTATTGCAGGAAGAGGGCTTGATTGGTGTTTAGGGGTATAGAAATGGCAAAGAACAAGGATTTGTATAAAAATGGCAAAGAATAAGGACTTGTATAGAAATGGAAAAGAACAAGGACTTGGAAGTTGGGTCTTATGCCTGAAGAAGGGCATATGCACCAGATTGTTTTCAGAATATTATGCTAGTTGACATTCTGATGATGTTGGGCCATCTCAATAGCTGTTCATGCACAAAGCTTCATCATATATGCTTTTAAATAGATGTTGATAGGCATTGATGTGAACCTTTCAAAACCATCTAATGAGCCCATGGGCATTCCAGATAGGGTATTTAGTTGGCATCCTGGACATTAACCCCATTCATACTTTAAGAAATGCATGTGACTGGAGTACTAGCCATTCTTATGGTTGCAAAATGCCAAAATGGTAAAAACAATGGGCCAAAACAAGTTTGAACCATTTACACAAGATTTCCATAGTGGTAATGAATAGAAATTGATGGAAGAATTCAGAGTGGGTAATTGGATTATTAGGATCAACTATTTTTTCATTTCTCCTGATTTACTTTGACTGACTTGTTTGAAGGATTTCGGTGGGTGTCCTTTAGTAACCCCATGTAGCCCAATGATGATATTGAGCTGGAACTGTTGGGCTTTGGGCCAACCCCTGACCATTTGCTCTTTATGACCTTCAGATCATCTCTTTGAATATGTGCTGTTTGGGTTCTAGACATAAATTACCATGTCAACAAATGGTTTGACTTATAGGTTCGTGTTAGTTGGTGTTGTATCTTTTAATGATCCACGTAATACTTGTCATCTTCCACATATTGATGCTAACACTATTTCTCTTGCTTTCCCAAATTCTCCATACCAATCAATCTCGTGATCACACAAAGTTCATCTTCTCTACTTCGAACATCAATTTCTCTCCTTAATCTCTCAATTTCTATCCAAAGCAGAACACAGAGTGAGAAATATATATCTATATATATATATATATATATATATATATATATATATATGTATGTATGTATGTATGTATGTTTATATAAATTCAGTAGAGTTCTTGACCGTAAGCTAGAAACCCTAATCGCCTTTTTTAGCCAATATCGTTCTTTCTGCAAAATAAGATTTTTAATTTTGGTGAAAAAAGAAAATTGGATTAGGATTCTGTTAACATCAATAGATTGTTGATTATATGTAATAAGAAAAACATTTAATGACATTGATAATGACATATAATGCAACGCGTTCAACAGGTGAAAAGTCATTTAGGATAGTTATAAATGTATTGAATGGAAATATTAAAATTAATGTTTAAATTGTATAATTTATTGTTTTGGTTCAATTTTTTATTTATTTTTTATTTTTTATCATACTATTGTTCATGGTCGCCGCCACTAATGTAAATTTCTGGCTCCACTAATGTGGGTTTGAAGTTAAGGTGCCAATGTATACTTGAATTTCTCAATATCTTGGTCAAAACATTTTTATTTGGGTGAAATATTTTACCAATATAATATTTATTTTGTTATAAAAGTTTTCTACGCACATGTCAAGTTAGTCTTCTCAGGGTACACAACATACCCTCAATTGCTGTTCTGGGTTAAGTACAGAAACTACTGATGCAGGTTGGTTCCAAGTGACAATAATTGAAACCAGGATGTCCGTCTTATTAAGCGTGATCTTTGGCCAATTATATTAGTTATAAGTTACAAGTTTCACGTTCTGGTTCTGGAATCTGGAATATTAAATCTACTTATTATGAAATAATATATCTTATATGTAGTTGTGTCGTTGCCATGCCCTTTCTTACATTTTTTAGATTAGCTATTTGCTACACCATTATGTCTATGGCATGGTGTCTGTGGCTATGCTTCTTAGGGTCAGATGATTGCTTTATAGCGGTGGAGTCTGGTGAAAATGGCAGTTTGGTTGGTGGTGGCCACACCGATTTTTTTTATTATGGTGGTTGGTTTATCAATGGTTTCACTGCTCAATTCCTCACGTGGTTTTTTAAATAACACCTTGTTAGTTTGGGTTCAAACGAGGTATTTAAACCCTCCAAATCCCTCCCCCAAACCGGTCTTATAGCCCCTCTCACCTTTCTTGTCTGTCTTGTGTTGCTAGGAAATGGCTAAGCCTTTTTGAGCCCCCTCCCTCCTTCAAATCCATTGTGGAATTTTGGAAATCCTTTTGTAATCACCTAAAAGTGGGACTCATTACATTTTGTTGATTTTTCCTATTGTCAGTATGGTGTATGATAGTCTTGGAGAATCTTTCTACTAATAGGGTCTTTAACTCTTCTTTGTTGTTTTCTCCTTGACATTTGAATCATTCTTATGTTGACCATACAGCTAAGTATTCTTAGCTGGTAGGCATACATATTATGGTCTTATATATTTGCGTCTTACTTTTTCTTTCTCCTTTTCTTACTTCAATCGGACCCTAAATGTTTGTCTGATTTTTTATGCATTCAATTTGCAGTGGGCTTCAAACATTCTAAAGAAACCAGTTGTCACAATAAATTGGTTATATCAGTGCTGGAAAGAGCACCGTGTTGTTCCTCAGGACCTGTACAGGGTTCTTCCTTTTTCTGGATTGACAATTTGCGTCACCAGAATTCCTGCAGGTTGACAAGTTAGATAGAAGTTTTTGAAATTAATGGATCAATATTATCAATCTTCTGGTGTTGATTAATATATGTTATTTTTTCTTGTTAAGTTAATGTGCCTGTTTATCTTCAGATGAACGGAAGGAGATGGAGAAGATTATCATAGAAAATGGTGGCAAATATTCTGCTGAGCTGACCAAGAAGTGCTCACATTTAGTCTGTGATATATCCTACACATGATTTTATCAATGGTCATAGTTACTGCTCTGATACAAAAAATATAAAATTGGAACGAAGAGATGGAAGGGAAGATGGAAAAGGTATCTTTAGGGAAAGGAAGGAGCCTTTCCTTCATGTTGTTTAATTGAGTAGAGAAGAAATTAAGAATGAATGAAGAGATAGTAATGTGACTTGACCAATACACCTTTCGACAACCATAATAATTATAAAATAGAATGAAAACTTTTTTGTGAATGTGTAAGAAGTAAAAGAATGAAGGAATATGCTTTTCTCTTCTCTTCTCCATCTACTTTTGAGCAAAAGCTTTTTGGTGGGTCCAGAGGAGACATCCTTCCTTCGCCTTTCCTTTCTCTTAAACATTTCACTTAATCAAACAAGGGAGATCTTCTCCTTCCCCTTTTCACTCCCCACTTCTCCTATGCGTTCTCTACCCTACCAAATATAATATTATTTGGTCATTCTTTTTACTACTTCTGTCCTCAGGATTGTTTAGGATATTTTCTTCCTTGTAGCACCTTTAACACTAACCATATTCGTATATACTGTTGGTGTGACCACTGGACTTTGTTGAATTAGACCTACTTATCTTAGTTAACTTTCCACCATCCTGTCATATATTGATGGTACCTTTATTTATATTACCAATATATTTTTTTTTGTTTCGTTTCTATTCTATTTTCTCATATCAGTTATTCATCACACCATCCTAATTTCACCTGCCCTTATTTTGTGGCATTCAATTGTTAAATTGAGTGATATTTTGCAAAAGTATCTGCCTGTTCATAATAAAAAAATATTCTCAAACTCGGACCTTCCTTTTCATCCTTGTCAGTGCTAGGTTTTGGTATTTCACCAAGCAATGACCCCTAGTTGTGAAGCAAACATTTTTTCAACATTGATTTGCTTTATCCTCAGTTTGAAAAGGGGGGAATTTAGATTTAAGCCTGCCAAAACTAGGCTCCTCAACAGCAGTTCATTTTTTAATTTCTTTTTGTGTCAAAACCATTTTTTTTTTTTTTTGGATAAGTAAAAAAACCATTTTATTTTGATAGAAGAGTCACAATTAGTTTTTATTTTATTTTATTATTATTATTATTAGTTTTTGTAAATAAACTTGGTATACTGCTGTTAAACATAAGTCCATGGAACTGTGACTAAATTATGAGTCTGAGTGGATGCAATTTAATTATGAATAGGTGGCGACTTATCTGTTCATATTTTGCTTCAAGAATTTGCGTTCAATGTAATTCTTCATGTGCTTTAGTGTCCATTTTCTTCTTTATTACTATTATTATTTGAAGTGTTAAAATTCTTCAGTTGTTAAATTTTCACAAATTTTAGATACACTTTTAATTTCATTTCTGGACTTTTAGGGCCTTATGTTTTACTATTGATATCTGAACGAATCTTTAATTAGATTATTGCAACTACTCTATTGTTACTTGTTAACAACCATCTACTCCAAAAGCTTAAGCTGTTAAGGGTGTAACTTAAATATATAAATCCTTCATCGCGCCCCCTAACGTGCGGCCTTCTTTTGATTTACACGTGTTTTCAATTTTTTAATTAGGCTGACGGTGAGGTTTGAACTCGAGACCTTTGGTTCTGATACCATGTTAACAACCATCTACTCCAAAAGCTTAAGCTGTTAGAGAGAGTGTAACTTAAATATCTAAATCCTTCAACATTTCTTGTAGATGACTTTACTATATTGCTGTGCCATCTCTGTACTTTCCAATTCTCTTGCACCCCTTTGAGTGACAGTAAAAGGTTGCCTAAAAAACCTTTATTTGAATTTTCTCTATAATGGCTATGTTTGTGCTTTGTTATGACACAAATTATATTTTCTTCATTTTGAAATCATCTTATGACAGACTTTTCTGAGTACATCTTCCTGTCATATTTGAAGTTAAGGGTCCTTCAATATTATGTAAATATAGGAAACATTTGTCTCCTTGACTTTTAATAAGCTCCTGAAGGTGACAAATACAAAGTTGCCAAAAGATGGGGTCACATTCATATTGTTAGTCGCAAATGGTTTGATCAGTCTGTTGCTCGAAGAGGTAATGCTTTATTTTGATGGCACACTGTAATTTATGGTTATGTGTGAATTTCTTAACAAGATTACTTTTATTTCTCTTGCGAGGAATTCTCAATACGGTATTGACCTTATTATTTTTTTCTGATGAGTAGCATGTCTTAATGAGGAGTCCTATCCTCCACAAGGTGGTTCTGGGTCTTTGATCAATACTAGAAAGATTTTGTCGACAACGCAAAATAGCCAAGACAAGAGTATTGGAAATTTGCAACGTGCCCCTTCCTCGGTTGCTGCAGATTCAAATTTGCAAGATGTTTTATGTGCTGGGAGTGCAGATCCAGATCTAGAAGCTACACTCTCGCAGAACAAGTCATCTACATTTTCAGATGCTCCCATCTTCACGAAGGAGGATAGTGGTGCACCAGCTATGCAGCCTAAAAATGATACAAATTTTGATGGTTGTGTTGCCAATGACTCACAAACTGAAGACAATGATTTGTACTTGTCTGAATGCAGAATTTTGCTTGTTGGATTTGATGCATCTGAAATGCGTAAACTAGTCAACATGGTCCGAAGAGGTGGCGGTTCCCGTCATATGTCACTCAATGATAAACTGACACACATAGTTGTTGGAACTCCGTCAGAGAGGTAAGATCTTCTGAATTTATGTAAATTCTTGTTTATCAGTGCATTTCTTAACATTCTTCTTTCATGCTTCTTTTGAGAAAGTTTTCTAAAATTGATGCTCTAAGTGTGTTGGAACACATTTTTATTTTTTTTCCCCGAACGGTAAACACACATGTTTACATGCTTATGAAGTCCAATGTTGACATTCTATTTGAAAACTGAACCCTAAACATCCAATTGAGATGGTAGTTTCCAACATAGGACAATGGGGTAGACATAATGTTCTCAAATATCTAAACATGTTTATAGCAGCTATGTACTGAAGAACAATCTAGAATGAAACTAGTATTGATGATACAAAAGGTAAATTGTGGGAAGGATAGGTAATTTGATGATGTAGAATTCTAGGGCGGAGTCAAGGTTGAATACTTGGATGGGTACTTTTTAAGTGTTGTTAAGGCTCCATTTGATTAGATTGAAATAGCAAGAAATGAAAGAAATGGAATTCTTTTAAAAACTTTAGGAGTTTGAATAGCATGAAGAGGAAAATTTTGGGGAAACTAATTTTCATAACCACCTAACTTCCCATAAAATTTTCGTATAAGCAACCTAGGAAAGTTTTGATTTCTTGAGAAAGTTTGATGAATTTACAGTAATGCCCTTTACCACGAAAGAGTAATTTTCCATAACTTTATTGAAAAATTTCATGCTAATCAAATTCATGTTGGAAAATTTATTTTCTTTCATTCATTTAACTTTCTTTTACTTTCACTTTTCCCTATTAGTTTCCATCTAACCAAATGAACCCTAAGGTTTGTGGAGGGTAGCTTCCAATGAGTGTTCTCATGAAGAATGAGGAGGGAGAGGCATCTTTAGAGAAATTAAGGAGCAATGAAAAGAATATGGAATAGTCTTGATGCATAAAAGGGGAATTTAGTGTGGTTTTGTACCCATGTGAACAGTTAGATTGTCAAAGGTCTTTGAGACTAATGAAGGAACTTCCCGATTTTATTGATGTTATGCACTTCAATTTACCTTTCAAAGGGGGGTGATTCAGTAATTATCTACACCAACTTTTATTCCATCAAGCCAAGATTGGATTGGATGAAGGAATTTGCTGACTTCACTATTAATTGCTTTACCACAAAAGGCACATCTCACTTTGTACTTGTTATTATCTATTGGGCTACCAAATTTCAACGAAGTACAATCGTTCATCATCCTTGAGAAGATGGCTGAAATGACCATTGCTTGGTCAATAGGACTTATATTGGTATATTTCGTGTCTCAAAACTTAAGTCTGTTTTTTTTTTTTTTATTTCTAGTTTAGATAAATCTTTAAAAGTTATTTAGTGGCTGGTAGTTACCTCTTGGTCTTGGTTGAGGACGATGTAAGTTTCATTCAAGGGTAAAAGCATAATTTTCTACAGCAAGGGTATAAAGGTAAATTGACACTTTTAAACACTCACCAAAACTAGGGTTCACAGATTCATACATTACGACTTTGAGATTCATGATTTGATTTGGAAAATCCTAATTGATTTGCATATAAAGTGTTTTGGAAATTACCCGATTGATTGAGGTATTGATTGAGGTCCACTAGAGTTGCTTCCATCAATCGATGTGTCTCTTGATTGATTGAGCAGTGTGAGATAGCAGTTTCCTTTTCTGCTTAAAACACTGAAAAATCCTATTCTTTCTACAACGCTATTTTGCCTATATATACACTTATTGTAGGGCAAATCCTATATAAACAGAGAATACATTGAGAGATGTATATTATCGTTAACAATAGAGTGCATAGTTTTCTTTTAGCATCCATCATGTGCATTAGTTGGTGAGTGTTATTAAAGTGTGTTTACGACAGAATCGCTGTGGAGCAAATACAAGCTAGTTCAACACAAACATTTATTCATTCAAACCAACATTGGATTGGATGACTAGTCATTGGAGATCGAATCACTGGTTGGAGAAATGGATCATGTTAATGGCGGAGCTGTTGACGAGTGGATTATGTGCCTGGAGACTTGAGTGGAGAGTTTGGTGGATTAGTCTGTGTTAAGAGGTAACTAGATGTTCTTGGCTTAGAGAACTGTTAACCAGGTTGTAATACTTCTTTCTCATAGTGCATTTGGTTTGCTTGAACTAGGTCCATGGTTTTTCCCACTTAGGTTTTCCACTTTAAAGTCTTGGTGTCCAAATTCATGCTTTTTACTGCTTTAATCTATCACTGCTTGATTGGTATGTTAATTAGCGTGTTGCATTGAATAATATTTAATATTTAGTTTTAATTGAATTTAAAATTCTGGTAACTTTAGTTGAGATTTAAAAAGCATTTAAAATTGGTTAAAGTCTATAGCAAGATCTATTCACCCCCTCTAGGTCTAGATCATGGACCTTGCTTAACTTTATATCAGAGCCTAGGGTTTTGGTCCTTACCCCATCAACCACATTTATATGAAAACGTACTATTGAGAACAACAGGGGTGACATTGTTTTTCCCCCAAGACTTGGATGGGACCTCACAGATAACAAGCAGCATAATCACGTCGAGTCTACAGACTTGAGATCACCATGACAATTTCTCTTTTCCAAGACCATCCTCCCTTAAATGAGAGAAACCAACTTTAGGGAAAGTTCAATCCTGAATCCTACTAGGAGAAGTCCACAGGTCTTAGAATGTGGGTTAGCACCTGAACACTTAGATGACCTAGACGATATTGGACTATTTTTTTGCCATACAAAAAATAAAAAAGGAGAGGGGCGAGCCTTGGTGCGACAGTAAGGTTGCTCCATTGTGACCCAGAGGTCATGGGTTCGAAACAAGGAAATAGCCTCCTCGCATGCAGAGAAAAGGCTGTGTACATCTAACCTCCCCAGACCTTGCAATGGTGAGAGCCTTGTGCACTGGGTTTTCCCCACCTTTTTTAAATAAAAACAAAAAACAAAAAATCGAAAGGAAGCAATGTCATGTCTTGCATTCCATCTAGGAAAAGATGATTGGAAATGTGCCAAAATATTTTGCACATTTATCAAAATGTGGGGATAATGTCTGTAAAATCATCATTGAGAAAGGAAGTTCGATAAACATAGTGTCCAAATTGGGTTTCGCTAGAATAGATCTTCGACTTGAATCTCACCAACAACCATATTGGTTGGCATTGGTACATGAAACTTCCTTAGTTGTCTTAGAGAGTAGTTTAGATTTAGGATTAGATTTGGTGCGCAGTCTTACCTACTGATTTAGCCCACATATTTACTAAGATCTGTACTATTTTGTGATGCTTGACTTTCTTAGTTTGTTTATTCATTTGGATTCAGGAATTTGAAGCAGATTTGTGTTGCTGACTTAAGCTAGTGAAATTGGGTACTATTTATTTTGTGGGAAATGTCTTTTTAACAATATTGTTGTACTTGTACCTGATACACAATCAATTCATGTATAATTTGCAACCATTTGTTTTTTTTTGGATATACCTTTCATTTGTGCGAACGGCCCAACACTGACTCAAAGGTCATCCTGTTTAAAGTTTAGCAATTCTCACATGCTTAATCAATTATGCAGTGAAAAGAAGGAGGTAAGGCGCCTTGCAGCTTTGGGTGTCATTCATGTGGTCAGAACCACGTGGCTTGAAGATTGTGATCGTGAAAAGAAAGAACTTCCGGTGCTCCAGAGGCACAATGCTTATGATTCACTTCTTCCAAAAGGTTTGACAACCATTTCATGAAATTTATAAATTGGTTTTATTTGTTGCCCTGCATTAATGTTTTTGCCCTATCACTATGGATGTCGCTGTATGTTTTCGTGAAAAGCAGACATGAGATAACAAATCCGGTCTTTCACTAAGATTTTGAATAGTGGTCCCGAATTCAAGTTGATTATATTTTGCTGCTTGATTAGCATAAGTTATATGGCAGTGAGTTTGCACTTGTGGTCAGTATGTGTTTTGTGCTTCTCTATTTGGCACCCTCATTTTGGTTTTTAAGTGAATTTCCTATTTCGTAGATACTGTATTTTCCATTAAGGGAGCTGCAGTGGGCATGGCTGGTATGAAACAAGTGAAAACCTCTAGTGTTCAGTCCATCGTGCCAGATAATCAATTATGGGAAAATATGAATTCCGGATCTGAAATTTCATCGGAGAAACGCAAAGAACCAGAAGTTATCATGAAAAGTATTTCCTCTCTGAAAGCAACAGTAGTATCTGCCAAACAAAGCCAGCATTCTGTTCTAAATGGCAATGATAAGGGTCAACAGGAGATGCAACATGGTTCCAGCAATGAAATTCGGGATGGGAATTCATCCAATGTATTCAAGGGGAGGCTATTTTGCTTTTCAAGTTCCTTTCCTGAAGATAGGGTAAGCTCTTCAATTATTAATTTTTATTTTTTTATTTTATTTTTTTATAGATTAGCAAAGCCTTTGATGTAGAAATGTTTGAAGTTGATGGTAGTTTTCGCTACTAAACAATTATTGCTCGGGTGAGATTCAGATAATTTAGAAGCTGAAGTTATATTTACAACATATTTTACATGTCAAAGTCTTTTGAAAAATCATTTAAATTCGTTGACAGCATTCATAGTCTTCAGGAGTTGAAGGCAATAGTATCCTATAATGTTGCAAAAGAAATTTATGCAGAACATATATGTGATATTTTAGATGGTGGAAGTGCTCGCGGGTGAGCAAATGTGATGCATTTGATCATTATGCTTGGATTTTGGTGTCATGCAAATGATCATCTTTTCCATCCATATACTTGACTTTTTGTGGGATAGCAAGCCTGCATCTTGGCATCTGAAAGATGCCTATATGGAGTATGGACAAAACTTGTGGCTTTTTAAACTGAATGTGCTCTATTTTATTGGCTCTTAGAAGGCTACATAATTTCTTTGAATTTTTTTAGAAGTTTGGTGAGCTGTATATCTTGCAAATGACAAAATCTAATTATTGTCCTAGTAAGATTCCATGAGGTACGGAAATTAGAAATTGTTCTCTTTAACTTTTTAAGTCTCTGTGAAGCATACACATTCGACATTAAACATTAGTGGTACATCTTAAAATGTGATTAGGAAATGCCTTATTAACACTATAAATACAAATACAATTTAAGAGTTCCCTTTGTAGAGATCCACATGTTCTGTGTAACTAGCATGCTGAGTACTAGAGTAAGTCAAATTATTCAAACAGAGAGAGCAAGACAAATATATGACAAATTTCCCCCAGACAAGAAACATGGTATCCTGAAACTGATTTCAAATTCTATACAACCTTAGAGAGCAAGCAAGTCGAAGATAAAACTGATTATTATTATTATTATTGTTGTTGTTGTTGTTGTTGTTGTGTACAATGTTGGAGACAACTGGCAAAGGCCCCAGTAGCATTAGCTTTGACTCTACTTGAATGAAAGCTTTAGGAAACTTAAAATCGTGCTACTCAGGAGTGACTTATTGTGGATTAGGGTTGTGAAAAGCTTGTGAAGTTAGGATTGAAAGGGTGAAGACAAAAGGGATTTGAAATTGCATTAGGTTTCAAAGTATCTAGTTGAAGAAGATGGGAAGAAGAAGAAGAATCTAAGAGTCCACCTAGAATTCTTTAGGAATCCACCATCTAGGGTCGCACATCACACCATGTTTCATAAGCTTTCCTCAGATTCTCTCTCAATAGAATACCGACGTTCTTTTGGTTCGTCTTTTTTTCCGTCTTCCTCTTTTTCTCAGCCTTCTAAGTCAGCATTCCGATCCCATGCTCTGACACAGAACAGTCGCCAAGGAACCTCAGAAATGTCACAAGGGAAGCTCTTCAATGGCCATCCGAACCTAGGGAGCGTGCATCTGCGTCGCCCTAAGTAGGCATGCTTTTAGGACCACTGGAACTAAAGGGGCTGTCCGCGTCAACCCAATCCTTCCTATCCGTTGTGGGACACCTCCTACCTAACCTTCGGTCTAGTACCGAACCACCTAACCTTAAGACGTAGCCTGGCCCAAGTGGCGCCTACTGTCCACTATGCATGGGTCAGCTCCTGAATTGAAAAATTACGTAGATGTTTGTAGGCTGTTGGACTACTCTTAATTACACTAGGACTAAGACTATAGTACGGAACTCAGAAACTGAAGTCTAAAGACCATTATATACTTACTAAGGACTCCATTTAGAAACCACTAACATGACCCAAAATTAGACCCATGGCCTGCTACAGTCCATGTCCAGTAATTTGAAAAGTAACAGAATATTATTAGTCTTAAAATCTAGTAAAAAAATAAAATACTAGTAGCATAGTAACCTAAAATAAACATTACATAAGATATGGATTAACCAAAACTTGATTGGAAAAGGTTCTTGTTGTGCTTGATAGGACATTTCCAATTTGCCTCTTGTTATATTCTCTACATCACTACTCTATGTTGATTTGTCAAGAATAAAGAAGGCTTTAGGATGAGGACATGCCATGTAGCATGCTAATCAAACCCAAAATAAAATGCCATTTATACTTCCTTATGCAGTAATGAATTATAACAATAGCCTATGAGGGAAGTTTACTAAGTTCAAAAGCTGCTGAAAATTTCTTTTAAGAATGTCCATTGTTATGTGTGGCTTTATTATCTGAATAAACATTGATGATCAAAGAAGCCAAAAGATCAACCCAGTTTTGTTGATTGACTGCAATCAAATGTCTCAAATGTTCTTCCAAGAGACCATTCACATGTTCTGTCTGCCCATCAGTTTGAGGATGATTAGTCGTAGAGAAGTTGAGTTTGCGAGCTCTACGTTTGAAGCTTCAACACAGTTACTCCTTAGTAGCTCGTTGCTACAACTTTTCTTTGGCTCGCCCCTAACTCTAAAGAGGCTTACTCACTTCATTTGCTATCTCTCAGTAGTGGTTTCTTTGTATTTTTGTATCTGATCTTGAATAGCTTCGTTGCTTTCTGAAGAAGAGGAGTCTTCATGTTGCCGTTTCTTCGGCGAGGTTGATGGTTGAGGGTTCTGGGTACCGAAGGCGTACTTAGGTGAAGCTCCAATACCTATTCAGCAGTTGATAAAACCAATTCATTTCAAAGCAAACCACACAAAGAGGTGTAAGGTTATGTAATCAAACCACGTAAAAGTAAAAATGTCGTTGACCATATTAATAGTCTTGATATCATCCACATGATTTCTACATATCCAAAAATTAATAAAAATAAAACATCAACATGAATTCTGAAGGTATTGGATGGATATATAATAAAACCACATAAAAGTGATAATGTCGTCGATCATATTAAAAGTCTTGATATCATTCACATAATTTCTACATATCCAAAAATAAATAAAAATAAAACATCAACCTGAATTTTGAATATATTGGATAGATTATAGATATACTACACATCTCAATATTTTAATTTCCACTTTGATATTTCAAGCCATTAATTTAAATGTCTGTTGATCATTTGTTTGTTTGTTCACTATGCTGGAGTGCAACATTTGTTTTGTTGGAAGTGCTCTTTATTTTTTTTATTTACTTCTTGTATTGATTTTTATTGAGCCATTCCTCTTATCATTTAATCTATAGCCTTCGTTTGCTTCCAATACATTTGATTTTAAATTTTTTATACTTTGTCCATCCAGAGAGCTGAAATTGTTGAATGGGTCAATCAAGGGGGAGGAGAAGTAGTGGATGATCAGATTGATCAGAATGTGCACTTCACCATTGAGTGTCATGGTGTGGTACCTAGTGTGGCTGGTGCTACCAGAAGTATCAGTATATCAAGTCACTGGATTCGATCTTGTTTAGAGGTACTTATGTCTAATTTGTGAATGAATTATTTTTCAATTATCCATTTTTACGGTATGATTATATCTGCTTATAGCACGTCTTCAAAATCTGTTGGATATAAATTTATCTGAGAAAATCATTTCGTTGGAGTATCTATTTTTTTTTATTTTTTATTTTTTATTTTTTATGTTTGTGTGGTCCATGTTTGGAATAATTTTACTGTCTAAGTGACTGTTTTGGATTACATCCATTTTCCTTCGAAATCTTGGTAATCTAACTGTATGTTTTGGATGACATCCATTTTCCTTCGAAATCTCGGTAATCTAACTGTGAAGTGCAGAGACCAGTTAATAACAACGGTTAGAAACTTAGAGTCATAAAGTAAATGAATGCGTTTCTTGTTAGATTTTGTGTCCATTGCCATAACTATGTGCCATGGTGCCTGAACTTTTTGTGTATTCATCCAATTGATTTTTATACTAGTCAATAGGTAAGACTCAATCAATATGCAGCCTACTGCTGTGACCTTCTGAAATCCTTTATTACTAGAGTGATATATATAGAGCAACCTACTGCTATAGTCACTTTCAGAATGGAACTAGGAGCTTCATATATATATTTTGTGGTGGTGTGTTGGGGGTGAGGTTAATGGTGGTGTGATGCAGTTAATGGTCTTGTTAGTAAGAAATTTAATGCCCTAAGTTAATACACGCTTGCGCATTGAGTGAAATAGGTTATTCTTGGAGAACTAATTCTTTAATGTTATCTATATACATATTTATAGAGAGACATTGAGTTACCTACTAAAAAAGAACTGGAAATAAAGATTGAGAAATTCATTGGATGATCGGATCCTTATTGATCTTTATTTTGGATTATGTTTGATGTTTGGATCTCTGCATGCTTGCATTTGCATATTGATTTTGTATCCCAATCTGAATGATCACTTGTATATGAAGAAATACATGGACGGTCGCATGAATGATATAACATAATTACTGAACAAATCAAGATTCAAGAACAACCTCTCGAGGTTTTGTGAACATATTATTGCTTGTTGCTGTGATTTTTGAAATGTCAGTGACCTCCTTTCAGGTTTTGGAATTGTCTTCCTTAGGGAAGCAACTTGTTGGGATAGCGGAAATGCGCGAACATCGAGATCCAATGAAAGTCGACAAAGCAATCACACACAAACACAAGATATAATGTGGTTCACCCAAAACTAGAGCTACATACACGGATGAGAAGAGATTTCACATTGACTTGTAGAGATATTACAACAATAGAGTACCAACACCACCTACATGTCTTTTCACCATGTACCACTCCACAAGCCTACCTCCTTGCTACCAGTGTCATCAGCATTTTTTCTACTCTACCAACCCATAAATTACATCTACCCATCAACTCCCTCATGAGACTACATCTCTCTGTCTCATAAGCCTCAACCCAAAACCTAGGTGCATATTTACAGAGTTCCATACTCAATTCCTTATTGGGCAAGGATTACAATTCCTTGGAGCCCAGACTTGCCAAACAAGAAATTACCTATCAAATGCAACTCTAAAATAGAAACCTAAATAGATTAGGAATTTGAGACACAGTTTCCAACACAACTTAATTTTGATTTATTGCAATCCAAAATCTGAAATTGTATGTTCTCAAAAGGTTGAACTATAAGGGAACTGATTATGAGGTGACCCAACCTAACTCAGGTCTCAAGTCTGGAGGTATTAAAGACAATGGTTACAAAGTTTGTCTTGGAGATGTGTATATATTTATCATGTCCCTGTTTTGTGTCAGAGGTCATATCCTCTCTTAGTTTTCTTTTTTATCTTTTCGTTTATAATTCATGATGGAATTTTGGAAGGAAATGTAATTTACATGGTCGATACTGTAGAAAGAAAATATCATGATGGAATACTGAGAAAATGTTTGTTTAGTAGAGGTGTACATAATATTATTATTATTTTTCCCTGTTTTCTTTCAGAAGGTTGTTTATTCTTCAAGGTGTTCCCCACCCTCCTGACCATCTATAACTTATGACAGAATTTTGGACAGAAATGTAATTTACACAATGAAATACAGGCTAGAAGTTTCACATTCATTGAATTATCTGTATAAAAGCCCCCAAGGCCCTGTTACATTAGGAATAGTCTTAGTTCAATTTGTATTGAAAATTCGAGGACACAGTTGTGGAGGATAATATTGTCATTTTCTTTTTCTTCAGTAAATTATTGACGCCCCCAACTGTTTTTCTTACTTTTTCTCTATTCATGTATTCACCTTCATGTCCTATGAAAAAAGCTCTCTCATTTCTTGAAGTCCAAATGATAGTTGATGCCTCTACTGGATGAATGCAACATGTAATCATGCTGATATACTTTCTTGTGTACATTATGTGTATCTTACCCTGGGCAAATTGAATGGTGTCCAATTTTTTCTTTTCTTAGAGAAACAGTGATTGTAATTTATTCACCACCAAATAATAATAATAATAATAATTATTATTAAATTATTATTATTAGTTTTATAATAATATTAATAATATTGATAATTTCACTGCTTATTATTACTCTTACCTTTTTATAATGTAAGTTGAACATTTATACACACAATGTTACTATTGATGTTGTTTCTGTTCTTCTTAGACTTATTCTACTTTTTAACTTTTGTAGTCATAATATAGTTTTGTGGCCTCAATAAGCCTCGTAATTAACATTCAAAAATTTTCTATGAAAGGATGGATGCTTGCTGGATGTTAGCAGTCACATTCTATATTCTCCACTTCCATGCCAAATTCCTTTACCTGGGTTCAAAGGCTTTCGGTTCTGTGTTTCGCAGTATGATGAGAAAGATAGACTGCTATTAAGAAATTTGTGCTTCGTTCTTGGAGCAAAATTTGTTGAAAAATTGACGAAAAAAGTCACTCATTTATTATGTAAGTTCACCAGCGGCCCGAAATATGAGGCTGCTTGCAAATGGGGGATACAGTCAGTTACATCTGAGTGGATTTATGATTGTGTTAAGCAGGTCAGTTTCTCTCTCTCTCTCTTTCTCTGTGTGTGTTTGCGCGCACGCGCACGTGTGTGTTTTAGTTTGTACCCATGCATGTGTTTGGTTCATCTTCATCTAGTTTGCTCATCATCTCTGTGGGGGCAGAATGAAGTTGTTTCTCCTAGTTCATTTTGTCCAAAAGAAGTTACTTCTAAAGACCAAGAGGCAGGATTCTGCACTATGAGCCAGTATCCTTCACAAGCCATTCGAATGATATCTGGAGATAATGCATCCCAGTTTCCAAGTCAGTCCCAGGACCCGAGAATTCAAACTCAAGGTATTGGTAGCAGAAGTGACAGCTCTAGGGAAGAGTTAAATCATTCAAGTATTCGCAATAAGAAGGCAAGGCTTTTGGGAGATGACAGCCAAAGGGGTCTACTATCTTGTGGAGTTAATCAAAATGATCCTATCTGGAGGATGAGTTCCACGGAAAACAACATAGCAGAAAACATTGAGGAAGTTTCTCCTGCCATACCTGATGTAGCTTCTGCTATTGAGGATTTGTTAGAGCAAACAAGTAAGGTAAAAGATGACGACTTTTCTCAAACTATATTGAGTCTGTTGATCAGTGACTTATCGATTGTCTGGTTTTTGGCATTAGATTCACGATCTGAAGTCACCAGAGGGGACTGCATGTGATAGAAGTGTATCCTTGTGTTCTTTTTAGTTTTGATCATTACGTCTTTTCTATTAGTGTTGACATTTGGTATTTGCACAAGTTTCAATCCATGACTGTAAAAAAGCATTTCTCATCTGATTGTTCAATCATTGGTCGAGATCCTACAGATCCTCAGTCTCCTTTTGGGTTGTCTAAGCACTGGATAAACAGGTGACTTTTTTATTTTATTATTTATTGGTTATCTTTACTTTTGAGTATCTTTGCTATAAACAGTTTCTTTATTTGTAATGTTCTGTCCAAAAGACAAAAAAAAAAAAAAAATATAAGAGAAGTTTGAAGCTAATGGCATTTTTATGCTCTTTTGTTATTGCTAGCAAAATCATTCGACTTTCCATCATAACCTTACTAGAGATTATTTGCACCGAGAACTTAAGCCATGAAATAGTAAAATAATGAATTCTAGAACATCAAAATCAGATATGTAACATTTATGTGCTTTCTCTTGCTCATTTTCTTTCAACTCAGTCTTTGGCTTAATTTGCTTCAGGGCTGATAAAAAGGACGACATCTGCAATCGATCTGAAGATCTAAATCCCGGCATTTATGATGGTTTTAGCGAAACACAAACAGAATCTCAGGTTTCATCTCATCTTTTGCTGTTTTTTTTGGTTGTTTTTTATTATTGTAATTCTCCATAACCTTGATATTGTGTGAACAATGCATCTCCTCAGAAGGAATAATATAAATAAAATGAGATGAAACCGATCTGATCCCATTCAATTTTACATCATGATTGAACTCTGTGTTGCAAATGCAGGTTGTTGGTTATGAAGAGGATTTGTCTGGCAGGCAAATGATAATAGATAGGGTCCGAACGCGGAGTAGCATGACTTGAACCCCCAAGATCTCTTCATTGGACAAAAGCAGGTGAAAGAACATGCTGAACTGAAGGTTCTGAACTCTGAAATTGGCTCTCCACTTTCCGAATCCTATGCGCTGATTGATGTTTCTTCAACTGCTTTTGGCCAGTGCAGCGTAAAAATCTCATTTTGCATTCATCGCTTGAAGGATCTACATGCCAATGTCCTTAAAATGAAGGGTTTATCTTTTAGGGAGTTGATGATACTGTCACAACTGTATTGGTTGTACCTTCAAATGCCATGTTTGTAGAACATTTATGTAATATTGTAAGCTTGTTAGTAAGCATCTAATGAAAATCAGTTTCAAAAATTTATCTCAATTTCACCACCTTGCCTCACCTTCCACCCCCCCCCCCCCCCCCCCCCCCCCCCCCACACACACACCAAACAAACACACACTCAAGCAAATCTTATTTTTCTGTTCAGTGTTGCACTTTATATTCATTTTTGAACTCAAATCGCTCTTGAACTCAACGTGGTCGACAATTTGCTTTTAAGCAAAGCCGATTCTTACACACCACCTGAATCCATCATGTTAACAAGAGTAGCGTAGATGGATCAGTTGTCAGGCATATATGGTAATGGTTATATGTGACAATGTTAATGTCTATGCATTAAGCAACTTATTTATGACCCATTTGGAACTCGGAAAATAACTGATTTACTAAGATGAAAAGTTCACCTTTTTCTTGGGAATTAAATGAACTTATTAAGAGTCCCAAGTCGAACCAATCTGTTCTTCAATACGAGGTCAATGTGCTTTCTATTAAAATCTTTTCAGATGACCATAAATACACTCTTATATGCTCACTTTAAGTTCTCTAACCTGCCATGATTCAGCCACAAGCATACACGCATAACATAACTAGAAAATCACAGCTTTTATACATCAAAAGACCAAGTTGATATTTTTACAGATATTTACATCACACACAACCGTACATGGTTACAAATTCAACAAGCCAAGTGTTCATTTAACTGCCACTTGTAGTACTTCATTACAGAACTTCAAAAGTAGCACAAAAGAAACCAACAGCTAAACAGTTCATCGAGCATAGCTAGTGTGAGATATAAAACTGTTATTGGCATATTTCGATGAACAAAACGAAGTCCAAATCGAGTTGTAATATTTTCATTTATTTGAGTCTCGGTTTCGGAAGCGAAAAATTCAAGTAAAGTTTACTCACGATAATGGACAACAATTAGTCAAGGTAAGTGTGTGAGTGTGATGCCCATGAATTTCCATGTGTAGGTTGGCCAAACCCACACCCAAAGACCAGGGGATATAAAAAATAATTAGGTAATAAACGAACACATAATAAAGGAGGAAATAATAAAATAAATAATAATGCTGAAAAGGAAAACTAAAATAATAAATAAATCTCAAATCCTCTGATAATCTGATGTTAATAATCTCCAAAGTACAAATCGGAATACAAACATCAAGGACCCCAAATAAAACCCATAACTGAAATAACGTCCAAGTCTATTGAACAAAAGATAAACAAACTAAATCAACCAACAAAAATGATCCTATGTCAACGACTCCGGAAGAGTGAAGATGAATGCTCTCTGATCAGAATGAACAACATCTAAGTCTGGAACCGATTGACACCTGAAAAATATAACAAAGGTAGATCAAAACCCACAAACAAGTTCTTTCTATAACGACCCAATCAGAGAATCGATAAGCGATACATCCCTAACCAACTCATGCAATATCTACATAGTCGATATATATATATATTCACACTATAGACTCTCAATGGACTATAGGGTAGTCTTAACTGGATAGTGGGTAAATCATGAAAATCGAACACGAGGTGGTCAAAAGTCCCTTTCTACCAGGGCACACACATCTCCTATATCCAACTACCCATCTCAACCAGCAATACACGCCTCAGTCCTAACCACTGATCCCGAGACCTCAAGCTCGTATCAGGGTACACACACACACACACACACACACACACACATATAACCATATCCCAACGATGACATACATACATATAAAATATCATAGCCATATCCCGACAATGGCACAACATAGAGTGAGTATAAACTTATTAGCCAGCTCACCCACACTACACACATCACATAGCTATATCTCGACAATAGCACAAAATAGAATGGATCTAACTTATTTGTCAGTCCACCTATACTCATCAATTCATCATACCATATCTAATAATGACGCAAAATATCAAGGAGCCTAGCTTAATAGCTATTTCAATGATCCTGTTACAAATATACGTTAAACACATCAAACCATATCTAACAATGGTAAACCATAAAGTACAGTTATGGATCATGCTTATAGATCATTATTACATCAACTAATATGATTAAAATCATAAATCATACTAATACATTTAATTACAAAATTTAAATGTCCTAAAGGTTCAATTTATAACTTAATAGTTAATCAATCTCGAATCAAAATGGCATAATTAAGTTTTATGCAATTTAAATCAAATAACACTGTTCCCGATACCTTAAAACATGTTTGGGACCTTTACAAATCAATTCGAGGCCGTTTGGAACACTTTTGGGGACAAATCAGGTATACAATGCTCAAGCACACCACCACGGTATAGTGTTAGAGCACTGTCTAGCAGTGCTCGAGCACTGGTTCGCAGAACCAGCTCGACAGGTCCATTTTAAGTCCTAAAATCCATCATTAAGGGTCCTAAAGCATGCTTTTATGTCCCAATTGATTTCCATAATTCATATACAACATATATATACATATTAGCACTCAAAAACATGAATTTAACACATTGAATTTAAAACGACCAAAATCCGGGGATTCGGATTGCTAACCGGGTCATAACCCGACCCGAAGTCACATAAGGGTAAAATGGTCAATTTACATCAAAAGGGATATAATATGACTCTAAGTAAGTCAAATGTGGTGTATACAATCCGTTCTAGTCACTCCATGACATTCTAATAGGTTCTATGGGAGTTAGTCATGGTTTCCCACAATTACCCCTTCTCAGTTTGGAGGATTTTCCGACACTACTTCACTAAAAAAATATAAATCTCATTGTAGGTGGAATCTAAGAATGGAGTTGGTACCATTGGAAATCTAACAAAAAATTATTTAATTTAGGTTCAAGAATGACCCCATTGGTTTTCAGATGAATGAGTTATGACTACTCGAAGTTAAGGGTTCAAAACTGGAGTTTTGCCAAGACATCCTGATTCTGGGGGACTTGAACCAGTTCAGGGTACTTGAACTGGTTCAACATGGGCAGTGTGCCTACGTTGGAACCTAATTTCAATTTTGAACAGGTTCAAGGGGGTTGAACCGGTTCAAAATGGCCGAATGATAAAAATGACCTAGAAAAACCTAATTTAAGTGCAAAGGGTTATGGACACCACTTAGGTCCCATAGAAGATCATTAAAATGCTTTTCAACCTGGTTATAACTTAGTGTAGAAGATGTATAAGGTACCAATTACATTTGTATACTAGAATATATATATACCAAAGGATTCAATTACATGCCCAAATTATATCAAAGTAGTCCAAAAGAATAAAGATAGAAGTTTAAGACCCTTAAGGTCATAATTACAACACTTTACTACAAAAATAACAAATCGTCGTCACTTTTAAAAATAATAGTTATCAACTAGCCATTGTTTACAAAAGTTTACAAAAGATGACTCGTCAACTTCAACTATGCTTGTGAAAAAATGTTACCAACCACATCTTTGCCGTGACCTGAAATTTTTTAAGGGAAAGGGTGAGCACGGAGGCTCAGTAGAAGATTCCTAAGGTAACTTTGGACTCCCTTGAGTCACACATCACACATTGGAGATTAAGAAAAATCGGGATCATACTTAGGGGAATTTTATAGCATTCATCCCATATCAATCCAATCAATAACATTAATACAATTTTGCATACTTAGAATGAAAATGCGATGGCAATGCCATGCAAATGGCCACCCCAAAAACACTTACATCATCAACATAAGTCATACACACCAAACTCGTTAATCCAACCCAGTACGAGGTGACTCCCTGCTACCACGAGAGAAGGATTGGTTGCCTATCCTTGACCTAGGGTGACTCTCTAACGTCATTTGGGGCCTAGGCAACTCAACCACGTATGAAGTATTTGCTCCACATTTCATCTAAATTGCATTAACCCCATGGACATAAGGTGACTTCTTGTCATCCAGTTTTGGCAAAAAACCCTTGGAAATCAAGTTTCAATTTTTCATCCCAACCCATGCTCTCTCTTGATGTCATAATGTGCATGTTATATACCAATGCCTCATTCAACGTTCCTACCATGCCATGCATGCAATTCAATTTTATTTCAATCTTTTTCATATGTAACAATGGCATAAACATAACATTTTCTAGAAGTAAGGCACAAACATGGCATTTTATTGAAAGCAACCACAAGTATGCTAATCATAGAATTTCACATCATCTCAAATCATGCTAGTATTTACATTCCATCCAATTCTGCACTAATGCTACATCATACACATTATTAGCATGGAAAAAACACACATTTGTCCACATAATAGCATGTTTTCACCACATCAACATATCACTATCATTTTAATCCACAATTTAACATTCAAGAATGAATTTAAGAGAAATCAACAAAGATGTTCAATGAAAGGCAAAGTTTAGAGCATTAGAAATCTCTACTTCAAAATGCTAGCCAAATAAGGCCTTAGTGAAGCCCTAAATTCGAAATTCCCTAAAACCCTTACAATAATGGTCTCAAATGGATGCCCTTGCCATGATCTCTAACTTCTCCTTCTTGGTCATCATCAAACTCTCACTCTAAACCCCTCAAAACCAAGCTTGAAACAATAGAGAGATAATGTACATAGATAGATATAAAGAGAGAAAGAAAAGGGTTAGAGAGAGAGAGGGTTGGCCAAAAATGGGAAGAGGAGGAGGGGTGTTGAACAACTTCAATTTGGTTCCATGGTCCAAAGGATGCCATGCGTTACATTTTTGTGGATTACTAACTTTATGGTAAGTTACCCTTTTGCCCATGCCTTTCTATTGCAACACCAAGCTTGTCCCCAAAATATCTACCTCAATGTATAGATATAGATGTATGCATATATGTATGAAAAGACCATAATGCCCCTCAATGCAAATGACAAAACTGAGAGAAGTTCCCGAGCCCGGAAATCGTCTCTACTTTCGAAAAATTCACAAATTAATCCCGTAATTTCTAATTAGCTTAAAATAAATAAAAATGCATTCCTAAAACTCTCAATTCAAGAAATAACTAAACGGCCCTTAAGCTCCACATTGCACGTAAAAC